CGTGAACCGTACTACATGGGAATCCAGCGACATAGCCATTACGCTAACTGCTGGTTCCCAATTTTTAAACAATTTTTAAAAGAATTATTTTATTTAACTTTTATTTATTATTATTATCATTATTATTTTCCAGTTTGATTAGAGAGAGACAGAGAGAGAGAGAGAGGAAGTGAGAAAGCAAGCCACCAGGTCCGAGACTTGAACTGTGGCCAGCCATGTGGGAGTCCAGCGCCTTTAACCACCATGCCACTTGCCGGCCCCAGTTTTTAAACAATTTTTGCCAGAGGGCACAGGTGCTTGCCAGAGAGGGAAATTTAGAAAGCACTCTCCATGGGGAATGGTCACATCACAATTCTGTAATTTCTCCTTCCTTTTGGCATGCATGCACATGCGCCTGGCATGTTTCTCAAGCAACGAGGTACAAGACTCAAACCACACATTCAGCCATAGGGATCCAGCTGCCTTAACCACTATGCCACTGGCTGGCCCCAAATTTAATTTGTGGTGTTGTTACCAAATTAGGTTATATAGGTAGCCTTTAGTGTGTTTATTAAAGTGTCAAATTTTGAAAAAAGAAATTTTTTGTTACCATGTTTCTTTCATTTTTAATATGCCAGTCTTAATACATAAGAGTGGGTTGGGCCTTACTCAACCTTAAACTAAAGCCAGGACAAGAGTGAGGCAGGCTTGGTGCCTAGGGTTCAAAAGTTAAGGCAAGAGCAGGGTCCTTGAGAGTGAGCACACTTTAGGTACCTCTCTTGCCTCAGTCTAGTCCTGGCCCCACTTAGCTCACACACTACCAGGAGGTGTGCCTGTGTCCCATCCTGGAAGGCCCAACAAGGCTGCAGAGGAAGAGAAAGAGTGAGGAAACCCAACTCTGGATGGAGGTGGACAGGCTACTCTGGGAGCACAGGGAAAAAAACAGGCAGAAGTGTACTTTCAACTCAAAAGTGGGTGCACACTGCCACCCAGTGGGCAACTAGGGAAGGACCCTCAGGACTGTTCCCACAATTACACAGATAGGGCCAAGATACACACCACACAACCCTGAGTTTCTCACATTCTGATATTCACAACAGTGTCGGGGGGCGGGCGTTCTTATGAAATATGTTGATCTCAGGCCACTTAGTGGTGTGGTGGTTAAGATGGCTGGATTCCACACAGCTAACTGTGCAATTCAAGTCCTGGACCCTGAAGCCTGTAAAACATGTTTCACAAGCATGTGCGTGTTTGTGTACGCATATCCGAAATCCCAGACAGAAGAATGGAGAAAGGATTGTGATGTGACTTTCCCATGGGGGGTACTTTCTCATTTTCCCTGCAGGTGCCCTCTGCCAAAATTAAAAATGAACCAAATTCATGCTGGGGGCCAGCAAGTGGCATGGTAGTCAAGGGCACTGGACTCCCACATGGCTGACCATGGTTCGAGTCCTGGACCTGGAGGCTTTCTTTCTTACCTTCCCTCTCTCTCTCTCACTTTGTTCCTCTCTGATAAAATTAAAGTTAAATAAAAAAGAAAAAGAAGACACTGGATTCCCACATGGCTGACTAGGTTTGAGTCTTGGACTCAGTGGCCTGAAAATCACACTTGGGGTTCATGCATATAAGAGAATGGAGGGACCAGCAGTTAGCGTAATGGCTATGTCGCTGGACTCCCATGTAGTTGACCGCGGTTCGCGTCCTGGACCCGGTAGCTTAAAACTCACGCTGGGCACATGTGCGTGCGTGCCCAAGATCCCGAGAGGAGGATAGAGAAGGGATTGCAGTGTGGCCATCCCCCCGGGGGGTGATTTCTCGCTTTCTGTCTCTCTGTCTCTGTCTGTCTGGCGAGCGCACACACCCTATAGCAAAAAAACCTCTTAAAAAAAAAAAAGAGAGAATGGAGAAGGGATCTCAGTGTGGCCAATCCCTCTGTGGGGGAGGGGTTTCTCACTTTCTGCCTTTCTCCAGTAAGTGCACATGCACTATGGCAAAAAACTAAAAACAAAAACAAAAAAAACATGCTGATATGAAGGTTTTAACCCAGAAGTAAATTCTGGGGGTGGAATTTGGCAATCTGTAAACTCAGTGAGCATCCTCAGTGATTCTTAGGCATGTTCAAGTGTACCTCTACTACAGTCCAAAGTGACTATCAAACTAAATTGTATAACAAAGAAAAGGCCTTCCTGAGGTTCCCAGGAGTTAGCGAATTTTCCTGTTGTTCAGACACACAAAGAAATGGAACCATTGGGCAAGTCTTTATTAACTGAAACAGACAGTTGCACAGAGAATGCAGTAGGGGCAGTGTCTGGAAAGGGAGGGGGGTGCATGTGTGCAGAAAAGGCCTTCTCTAGAACAGGGATGCCCCTTGGACCCAGACCACCTCTCCAAGTCCTCTTCAGTGGTGGTCCCTGGACTGACAGATCAGCTTCCCCACCATACTTCCAAGGGAGGAACAAGGGTCTTTTGGTGATGGAAAATCCTAACTTTAGCATTCTCCACATTCCTCTGGTTCCCCAGCTGACTTGATTGCTGTGGGGTTGGGGGGACAAGCCACAAGGGCATTTGCATAGCACAGGAGTAGAATGGGGGTAAGGCAAATGGTGAGGACAGAGGACATGAAGAGGAAGGGCATTATAGCTGCAGGTGAAGGGGACCTCCAAAGGGCAGTTCCTCTTCCCCTGGCTCACTACCCCCAAACTGCTGCTGGGTTGAGTCAGACTGAGGCAAAGTATAACATCTGCCCTCGTCCTTAACTCCAGAGCCCTGATTGGGAGTGAGAAGCTCTGGAAAGGCCTGAGTTAGTGGGTCAGGCTTATGGTATGTGTGTTTGAACAATTGGCCCTCCTTGGTTTATGTGGGGCTCCCCCCGATGGGTATGAGTGCTGCTCCTGCAATACATACAGGTCTCAGTATCTATATATGTGTCTCATTTGTTCCCACAGATTTGGAAGTGAAAGCATGTATGCAGGAATTCAGTATCTGCATGGTGTGAGGATTCCCTGTCTGTGCACTTGGGTTCCAGGAAGTGGATGTGTACGGGCCTGCCCGCCACCTCTTCATCCACAGGTCTTCCTTCAGGCCTGGCCAGTCAGGGGTCTTGGCCAAAGAGGTAGGTAGTAAGCTCGAGCCGGAGGGCCCGGGCATAGGAGCGAAGAGTATAGAAGAGGGTGAGGAAGTCCTGGGTGCTGAAGACAGTGTCAGCCAGGGCGAATGCCAGGGTAGATGGAATGACACCCCGACCGTATTCCACCATCCATGTGTTTGGCCCCCACTCCACAGCCGTTGCCTCTCCGGGCCCGTGCACCACTGTCTCCCCTAAGGGACAAGAGAGCATGCACATGAAGATTCCAGCTGTCCTGCCCTTCCATTGCTGCTCTTCCTGGGCCCATGGGCTATCTATGGGTAGGGAATGGACAGGGAGCTCCAGGAAAGGAAAAAAGCCCTACTTCATTGGCCTCGTCTCCCATCTGGAGAGATAAGAGACTAGGAAGCCACTCCTAACGTTCTCCTGTGGGATCACCTGGCCCATGTCCTCTCTTGAGGGAAACCATGGAAGGCTCCTTTACCTGGCCATGAGCCACTGAATGAAAGTCATGGAAACTTCTGCATTCCCAAGCCTTCTTCATGCCAAACACACATTCAACTTGGCCTGGGTCTGTTAGCTATGGAGGGGATGGTTGCAAGACCAGTAAGACTTTCTAAGAAATGTAGCTGTTTGGGCCAACCAGTGGTGTGGTGGTTAAAGTGGCTGGTTCCATGTGGTTGACTGCACAGTTCAAATCCCAAACCCAGTGGCTTGAAAAACACAATGGGCATATGCATGTGCATGCCCAAAGCCCTGGAAGGAGAATGTAGTAGAAGGGATGGCAGTGTGACAATCCTCTCCTCTTCACTCTCTTTCTGACTTCACACACCCTGTGGCAAATTTAAAAAAATACAAAAGGAACTGTAGCTGTTCAATGACAATGCCTACCATGCTCACCCTCAAACTCAAACTTACGTGGAAATCCAAACCTCTACTTTTTCTGTCAATTATTTCACTTTTTTTTTTCTTTTTAAAGGAGTGGGATAAAGGGAGCCAGATGGTGGCACAGCTGTAAAACGTGAAGCTCTGCCAAGCTGAACCACCTGAGAAGGTTCTGGGTTTGTGTCCAGATACCTCCCTGGATAACCCAGCAAACATGCCTATAATCTGAGGATGGCTGAAGTCTGTCTCATGGAATAGAATATTGCCTGGGCAAAGTGATGTCTAGGCAGATAAAAGCAGATGTAGTTAACAGAAAGCTGTTATGTTGTTTCCCTTTGGTAGAGTAAAACAACAGGGTCCCTTAGCTCAACCCCAACCAACCACCTGTGGCTATTGGGAACAGGGAGGAAGGGACAAGGGACCCATGGGAGGGCCTCCTAAAGCACTCTTTTCCATGCTATGGCTCCCTCCCGCAACTGTGGGCACCCTCAGAAGGAACCCACCACTTTGACAGAGCCTCTTGTACCCACCTGGGTAGAAAACCTCACTTTTGGTGGTGCCCTCTCTCCATTGGTGGAAAGTGCCAGAGATGATGGTGTCCGAGATCTCAGCCCAATAGCGTCCTGAGTGACAATCAGACGGACACTGACTATCAGGGTGTCCGCACTATCACATGGCCCAGCCAAACGTCAGAAAGGAGGGCATGGGCCCTTGTCCAAACCCAGACTCCCAGTCCCGCCCACCTCTAGCACTGACCCGAGTGGCCGCGGGAGCCCAGAGCGGTGCCGAAGAGCAGCACGTACTCGGACAGCGAGGCGTGCAGAAGGCACATGGCACCCATCCAGCCGCCCGCGTTCACGAACACCCACTGCAGCTCTTCATCGGGCAGCACGTGGCCTGGGTGCAGACGCCGCAGTTCCACGATCAGCCGGGAGAAGGCCAGCTCATGGTCCAGCCCTGGCGGAGGCAGAGGAGCGGCGGAGTCAGGGCCAGCGCCGGCCCCGCGCTTGGGGAAGGCGCGGTCGGACCCCGGGTTCAGCTTCTAGGCCGCCCACCTCCCCCCGTTCCCCGCCCTCCTCTGGCTCACCAGCGTACTGCCGCGCCAACTGCGCGATCTCTTCACGCTGGAAGACGAAGTTCTGAGTACCCAGCCAGAGCCAGACCACCTGGGTCAGCACCGCCGCGGCAGCCAGGAGTAGCGCGGCCCACACCCACCGCCGGCCCACCGCCCACTGCATCCCGGCGGCCCTCCCGGCACGCC